GAGAGCTAGAAAATCAAATAGTGACCAAGAACTATTTATCCACACCAAGAACTAAAATGTTCACAAAGATAATACTTACAAAGAAAAATATCCTACTATTTATCATATGTTATGTTTTTTGATGTGTGCTGCAGATACCAAAAAGGAAAAATGTATTATTGTAACATTTTGGTTTTGATTCTGTGACTAAAGTTAAAACTGTAAGTAATCCTAAATTTCAATGAAAACATGTCTATATGGCTTGAGTGAAAATACTTGAAATATACTGCTTTCCTGCAATAGAAAATTGCTGAAACATATCTTCAATACAATATAAAATATGACATGTGGAGATCCAACAGTATATATGAGCCGTGTAATGACAAAACCAACATAATGCGTTTGCGACCAGCATGGATCCAGACCAGCCTGCGCATCCGCGCAGTCTGATCAGGACCCATGCTGTTCGCTTACCAACTCTATTACAAGAAGAGAAACTGATAGCGAACATCATGGATCGTGTAGTCTCCACATCATGGATCTGTAGTCTCCAAGTCTAATACAACAAATGTTGGCATCGAGTTTTGAAGTTTCAGGGCCTTAAAATCACAACGTGGTACAGCGTTCGGTATTGTTTCCACATCAACATCATTCTGAAGACCAATTTCTGAAGTACATTGTATTAGAATAATGTGTGTCCAATCATAAATTATAAGACAATGTAAACATTTGAACTGTTAGAGTACCAAAGGTCTCTTAACCATATTCAGCACAGTTGAGTGAGCAAACATTACATCCTTATTATAAAAACAATACTTTCTGTCCATCTATATCTATTGATCAGTACTATGACCAGACCAGAGGTAGAACTTACAACTTTCTTAGGATTTGAAACTCTACTATAAGTACCCAGTGCACTAAGCTGTTGACGTAGCACTTTTTTTTACTTTTTAACATTACAAGATAAAAGGCTAACCAGACTGATATGTGGCACCTTCTAGCACTTCAGTTGCTCCTTTACATATACACCTCTCTTGTTTCAATGTGAGTCTGCGACGCTTGGACGAAGGAAGACTGGAGCGTTCCATTCGGCGCTTGCGTTCATTCATAAACTTCTTAGAGTACTTTTGTGAGTGGAACCCCGGAGAAAGACCTCCTTCTTCATAAGCCTAACATAGAAAAAATTGTGTAAGCTTCGATAGTTAGATACATTTACCAATCAAGACAATTTGACAAATCTGGTCTAGATTTAGTTGCCATAGTGAACTAAGTTGTTGTAGTAACATGGGTCACCATTGCTCTTCAATGTAATCATTCATAACACTTGAATGATGCCCAAAAGCTTATTATATTAGTATGATAAAAGTTTCCATTCGCCTTTTTAATAATGTAAAAATGTAAGGACTATTATGTAAGTAGCATATAATGCATACATTAATATTCACTTGAAAAAGCAACATAACTCTGCAACATTGTTGTGTTCTAACAACATGAACTGTGAACTGTAAACATAAATCAACATGAACTGTGAACTGTAAACATCAAACGAATAAAAAAACGTGAGAAACAAATATTCCTAGCATAACATTTCTGATAACTTCATTTCCTGAACTGAAAAAGGAATACCATTTTTAACCCTTAGAGCTACAGCAAGTGATTTAGATTTAAATTTTCCATCTAAGTATTTTGCAGGCTTTATAAATTGAAATAAACCATCTAAAAGAATAAATACTGCTATTTTACATCTGTTTTGCTTGTATTTAAAACAAATAAGAAACAAATCACTAACTGCAGCTTAAACCACTTCTGATTTTGTGCTGGATATCAAAATGATACAAACATTCCCATGAAAATAGTTTTAAATTAAATTTGTAAAGTCATCTTGATGAATTTTAGAAAGGTAAATTTTGTGTAAAGGTATTTCATATCAAAATGAGATCAAGCCATAAATAAAACAAAATCAAACTAATCACATGCCACAAGTCAAGTGTAAAACTTCCTGTTTAGTACCTTGCAAATATAAGTTCTTCCTTCATTGATGCCTCTTGTAGCCACAAAACTTTGGAAAACAGAAGCTATTGTCCCCAAACTGATGGTGTATGATTGTCCTCAGATTTTGTTCTAGATCTTCTTTGTTTCCTTGGTTTTTAGCAAAGGCGTATTTGAGACACTTCTGGATGTGGTTAATTACAACTTTACTGAGACGAACTTTCTTGGAGGCTTGCAACTGAAACAGCTGTTTACCAACATTCTTCACAACATGGTTCCTATCAAATCTCTTTTTCATATTAATATTTTGATTAGATTTTAACCGAGCTATAAGTGTATTGTCTCCATCACCTTCAATATACTCTAGTGGTGTTCCTCCTTTGGACAATTCCAATATACCTTGTTCCCCGCTCGCACTCTCCATCGATCTTGCACTTCCTGTATGGTTTTGGACACATCGGTGAAGACGTACTTGTTGACCTGGTTTGTTTTTTTCCACCATTTACATGTTCCACAGGTTCGAGTTTCACAATAGCCTTAAATACATTTTTACCATACTTCGCCTTACTCATAAAAAAGGTAAAATTAAAATAATACAGAAAATTGTTTGAAAGATCATTTCAATTGACACTATTTTACAAAGCAGCTGGACTGCATGTTTTAAACTACATTTACATGTAAACATACATAAAGTGTAAACATACATAAAGGCTAAAGCATGTTCAACTAATTACAAAGTGATCATTATGTAAAGCTAAACTTTAATCAAACTGAGTCTGCAAATTTCATGTAATTTGATTAATGATTAATCCTTCCGAGGGATCACACTTTTTCCAGATTTTTTATAAGGCTGTTTACTAGGGATGGCAATAACCGAATAAATTGCTAACTTCATAACCCTTCAATCGTCCTACTTGTTAACAGATCACAAACTAAAACACCGCTATTATTTTTGTGTAAAATTTACTCTGAAACATTAATTTACAAATTCATTTTTTTCTATTTACATGTAAGACTATCAAAGCCTCGTTTTTGCCAGGCTGTATCAACTGCACAAGACATGCCAGAGCGGGTTTTACAAGGGAACCTTTTCAACAAACTCCTCTCACATGAAGTATTACCCAGCTTATGTCCATGGATAACAAATCTATGTTTTCTGTATTAAAAGAAAAAAAAGAAATGTCAATGTTTCAATATCTTAATTCATTTGTCAAATCATTTACAGTGTATGAAAATAACAATGTTCACATGTGTATTGTACATGCTGGTTTATATAATAATAAAGTGGCCCTAATGGTCATAGCTTTTTTTGACAGAATGAACATTGGTATAAAAAGAAACAGAACAGAAGTGTGACAAATAGCCCTTGCATTTACAGTGCAAATTAAGTTTAAGAAATTTTCAACTATGAAGTTTTTTAGATATTTTTTTCAAGCTTTGTGTACATTGCACTGAAATTCAACTGATGTTCTAGCAATGAATCTATGTTCATATGAGTCCTACCTTCTCTTAACAACTTTCTCCTGCGAAGATTGTGGACTCATTGTATCATCTGCCCAACTTATGTCTTTAGTGTCGCTTGGTATTATCAATTCCCTGAAAAGACAAACAGAAAAGAATGTAAACAACAGTCGAAACCAGACAAAAGACATATGTGTCATCAGTCATGTTTATATTTATAAATTTATACAGTCATGTACAAAGAAGATTTTGAGTGCTCCAGTAGTGTATAGTAAACTATATACAAAGAAAAACATAACATGTACCACTCAACATTTATTTTAGCCAGTAACGTATATATTTTTTAAACTTACTCTTTCATAGGAGATGCCTCTGGAAGAACAGAAACCCCAAGGTCCTTTATAAGAATGTTTTTTGACTTCTCTGCTTCCAAACACTCACACACAGCTATGTCCCTTTAGAAAGAAAGAATTATAAGATACAAGAAAACAAGATATCAATGTTTTTATAGAAGTATAACTTTAACCAGGTATTCTGGAAAATTTCTGATGTGAAGTCCAAATGGGATTTTCAAATGTGAAACACTTCCATACATGTATGTGCATGCACTTCAGTTTTGTCGCCCATTTTCTAATATTCAACGAAATATCACGTTGAACCTATTTATATCATATATGTTTTATGTCAAATCACAAGAATAAGTTTGGTTCGTGCCAGATGTAACTAATATTTGTTCATTTTATTCTTCAAATAACTAATTATTTTAAGAAATGCATTTGAAATATACTTACTCCATTTCTCTCTGAAATGCTTCTTTGCCTGCAGCTTCCATTGACTCAGACGCCACTTTTTCAATGCTTGACCCTGCCCTCCTCTCTATTTTCTTCAGTTTACTATTACTGATAGTGGGTATATTCAAAGCTGCCAGCATGTTGTTGACTTTATTCGGGCCTCCCAATGTGACGATCATGGCTGAAAATACACAGAAACATCTAGTTTCTATTGAAACAATATTTTCATTTCAACCCAATTTAGTTTCTAGGCCAATGAATTTCATTCTTAGCAATTAGATGTTGCGTACGGTATATGCTTTTGGATGAATTAAAAGGCATAAAATACATGAACACTTACATAAAGCATTACATTTTGTAGCAGTATGCCTATGAAATTTCACAGCGGTCTTCTGTGCAACATTTCACTAATACATGTAATATGCATAAACAAGTGGCAAACATTCAATAAAAATTTGATGTTTTACATGGGTATGTTTGTACCATTTTGATATCCAGCACAAAATCAGAAGGGTTTAAGCTGCAGTTAGTGATTTGTTTCTTATTTGTTTTAAATACAAGCAAAACAGATGTAAAATAGCAGTATTTATTCGTTTAGATGGTTTATTTCAATTTATAAAGCCTGCAAAATACTTAGCCTGAAATTTAAATCTAAATCACTTGCTGTAGCTCTAAGGGTTAAACATGGTATTCCTTTTTTAATTCAGGAAATGAAGTTGTCAGAAATGTTATGCTAAGAATATTTGTTTCTCACGTTTTTTTATTCGTTTGATGTTTACAGTTCACAGTTCATGTTGATTTATGTTTACAGTTCACAGTTCATGTTGATTTCTTTGTTTGTGTTGCAGTTACACTGTTGGATATTTTCATACAGTTTCAAGCATATGGTGCCTTCTGCAAGTAAGTACTGTTCATAGTTTTTATTATTTGTTTACATTATACATGTTTTGTCTATAAAGTTAGAACACAACAATGTTGCAGAGTTATGTTGCTTTTTTCAAGTGAATATACATGTATGCATTATATGCTACTTACATAATAGTCCTTACATTTTTACATTATAAAAAGGCGAATGGAAACTTTTATCATACTAATATAATAAGCTTTTGGGCATCATTCAAGTGTTATGAATGATTACATTGAAGAGCAATGGTGACCCATGTTACTACAACAACTTAGTTCACTATGGCAACTAAATCTAGACCAGATTTGTCAAATTGTCTTGATTGGTAAATGTATGTAACTATCGAAGCTTACACAATTTTTTCTATGTTAGGCTAATGAAGAAGGAGGTCTTTCTCCGGGGTTCCACACACAAAAGTACTCTAAGAAGTGTATGAATGAACGCAAGCGCCGAATGGAACGCTCCAGTCTTCCTTCGTCCAAGCGTCGCAGACTCACATTGAAACAAGAGAGGTGTATATGTAAAGGAGCAACTGAAGTGCTAGAAGGTGCCACATATCAGTCAGGTTAGCCTTTTATCTTGTAATGTTAAAAAGTAAAAAAAAAGTGCTACGTCAACAGCTTAGTGCACTGGGTACTTATAGTAGAGTTTCAAATCCTAAGAAAGTTGTAAGTTCTACCACTGGTCTGGTCATAGTACTGATCAATAGATGGACAGAAAGTATTGTTTTTATAATAAGGATGTAATGTTTGCTCACTCAACTGTGCTGAATATGGTTAAGAGACCTTTGGTACTCTAACAGTTCAAATGTTTACATTGTCTTATAATTTATGATTGGACACACATTATTCTAATACAATGTACTTCAGAAATTGGTCTTCAGAATGATGTTGATGTGGAAACAATACCGGAATGATCTTCAAGGATTGAAAATGAAAATATTACATCTTTGATTGTATGTACTGACTTTAAAAGATCCTGCATTATGTCACTTAGACTATACCCCACAATTTTCATAGGTTATTGGCGATAATCGTTGACACGCGTTATACAAACTTATGATCACTTGTTCAAGTACAGGGCAAGGGTTGTAATTTACGATCTTAGTTGAAATTTGAAAGTAAACAAAATCAAAACATTTCTTCTTTTTTTCCCCGAACATTCATATTCGTTTTTTTATGTTCGAATATTCGGTAGTATTTCAAATATTCGTATATAATTCCCGGCCTTACTATTTTTGTATAATGATGCTGTTTTAGCTTTAAAGAAGGTACACTTGTACTGAATTACAATTTTATTCTTATATAACTGTATTTACTTGATCCACATATTCTACAATTTTAACTGTCTGTAGCGTTCATGAATTGAAAGAATACCCTAAGAAAGTATGGTTGTTTTCCAATGTGATTATAAAATGAAGCCGAAAATAAATACAAAAATCTGGAAAAGGGTGACCCCCGAAAGCAATGATAGAATAATATATAATTAAAATATCAAACGCAGTTGACGAGTCTTTTCGTAAGAGATCTGTCACGTCCATGGCACCGATTCAAGGAGTATTCAGACTTCTTCACCATCGACGTGTTAGAATCATTGATCCAAACTCAGTCTTATTGAGACTAATTACGAGTATAAAGATAATGTGAAAAAAGTAACATCTCCCACGCTTCCGTCAAGTTATCTTATCAATATTTATTCAAGCAAAGATGTGAATAATGAACAAATACATAGGTTTATTATTGTAGCGAATTTTCAACACTTTTTAACGACTTTGAAAAAATACTAACGCTTTAAATCCATTTATTCACTTTTAATTTTACAAAACTCCTTTTTTCAGTACTTTCAACACAATTTTAGTAACTCCTTTTAACATCCACTTTCGCAATAACTTTTAAAAACTCTTTTAAACAACAACGGTTTTGAACACAATACATGTAACATCAATATTTAGTAGACAGAAATTTGCGCTAAAAGAATAATTACAAAAAAAAGCATGATAATCTTGAACATTTGTGAACATGTGAATATTTACCGCCAAAAATAAATGAGGAGCAAGAAGGAGTTTAAGTGTCATAAATAATACAAAAATCGCAGAAATAAACATAAACGCAATAAAAGAACGTGAAATATGAAAGCTTATAGTAAAAGTTACATGAAATAAACATGTTAGATTCGCGCCAAAAGTAAGGAAGGAGATTTACTGAATTTAACATTCGAAAATCGCTAGAAATAGTGATGTTTTTGAAAAAAAAATGATTAGGTACTTTACTTCAGTATTTGTTATATTTTCCTGGTCTTTCAGGATCATTGAATTATGCACTTTTAAGTGTTGGAAATTGAGTACCACTCAAACCGGTGCTTAATGGCCTGCGGATTGATGCACATTTTCATTATCCTGCAAACTCGATCAAACAGAGTCTGCAATTTTCATGTAATTTTGTTGTGATTAATGCTTCCGACATATCACACTTTTTCAGATATTTTAACTTCACAACAGCTCAGTGAGCTGTAGAAATTGCCCCGTACTTTACTTTAGTGTTGTTATATTTTTCAGTGATTCCAGCACTAATAAGTGTTACAAATTAAGTACCGTTCAAGCCGGTGCTAGGGGACGTGAGGGATTTTGAATATTTTTCTTATTCCTCATTCAATCCGTGTCTGCTTTTTTCATGTAATTCTGTTGTCATTAATGCTTCCGAGGACCATATTTTTCCAGATTTTTATTATTTACTTTTGGCTTTCAGTTTGATATTTTGGAGCCTTTTCACTAAAACCTTTATACCGTTACACCCCAAATGTTCTTATCATCAAATGTCATTGTATAAAATAAAGCACTAAGTTACTCCATCTCTGGAATACTAGTAATCACGATTATTGCGTTATTGGTCATACAATGTAGTTGTATCATCGCTTTAGTAGTAGTTGTCAATGAACTGGAAAAGATTTATTAATTCACATGAACGTAACCAGAGCTGCATCAGTACTAAGGGTGTAATACTTAAGTACCAGTACCAGTACTTGGCAAATTATGCAGTACCATTACCAGTACTAAATTTTAGCTCGGTACTGCAGTACCAGTACTTTTTTCCGTGAAGTAATTAAGTACCAGTACCATTACTTTTATCAAAAATCAACTGCACAAGACATGCCAAAGCGGGTTTTACAAGGGAACCTTTTCAACAAACTCTTCTTACATGAAGTATTACCCAGCTTATGTCCATGGATAACAAATCTATGTTTTCTGTATTAAAAGAAAAAAAGAAATGGCAATGTTTCAATAGCTTAATTTATTTCTCAAAACATTTACAGTGTATGAAAAGAACAATGTTCACATGTATATTGTACATGCTGGTTTATATAATAATAAAGTGGCCCTAATGGTCATAGCTTTTTCTTGACAGAATGAACACTGGTATAAAAAGAAACAGAACAGAAGTGTGACAAATAGCCCATGCATTTACAGTGCAAATTAAGTTTAAGAAATTTTCAACTATGAAGTTTTTTAGATATTTTTTTCAAGCTTTGTGTACATTGCACTGAAATTCAACTGATGTTCTAGCAATGAATCTATGTTCATATGAGTCCTACCTTCTCTTAACAACTTTCTCCTGCGAAGATTGTGGACTCATTGTATCATCTGCCCAACTTATGTCTTTAGTGTCGCTTGGTATTATCAATTCCCTGAATAGACAAAAAGAAAATAATGTAAACAACAGTCGAAACCAGACAAAAGACATATGTGTCATCAGTCATGTTTATATTTATAAATTTATACAGTCATGTACAAAGAAGATTTTGAGTGCTCCAGTAGTGTATAGTAAACTATATACAAAGAAAAACATAACATGTACCACTCAACATTTATTTTAGCCAGTAACGTATATATTTTTTAAACTTACTCTTTCATAGGAGAAGCCTCTGGAAGAACAGAAACCCCAAGGTCCTTTATAAGAATGTTTGTTGACTTCTCTGCTTCCAAACACTCACACACAGCTATGTCCCTTTAGAAAGAAAGAATTATAAGATACAAGAAAACAAGATATCAATGTTTTTATAGAAGTATAACTTTAACAAGGTATTCTGGAAAATTTCTGATGTGAAGTCCAAATGGGATTTTCAAATGTGAAACACTTCCATACATGTATGTTCATGCACTTCAGTTTTGTCGCCCATTTTCAAATATTCAACGAAATATCACGTTGAACTGATTTATATATGATAGGTTATATAATTGGGCTGAGAAATTTGATAAAATAGATGAATCCCAAGCCGGATTTCGAGCCGGTTACTCTACAATTGATAATATTTTATATTACAAAGTATGGTACAGAAATATATTAGTAAACCAGGCGGACGATTTTATGTTCTTTATGTAGATTTTAAAAAAAGCATTTGATGGACTTAAACATTTTAATTATTCAATACTATAAAACAGATGTGGCGTTAGGGGGAATTTATTTCGTGTTCTTTTATCAATGTACTCAAAACTACGTGGATGTGTACAAGTAGGGGGCGTGGACGGTAACTTGCACTTTCCAGTACCGTCCATGAACAGGCTCAATCAAACCGAGCCTGCAACATTTTCAATTTTGCCGTGTTGGGCTTTCTTTAGGGATTCTGTATTTATCTATTTTATGATCACATCCGTGTTATTTGTGCCGTGTGGCGGCTGTAAAAAGTCTCCCCGTACATTTAATCAATGATGTTATATTTTCGATCCTTGAAGATCGTTCAGCACGACATTATTGTTGTGCTTGTAGTATTTTTAGTTTCAACTTTTCGGCATTTTCTAGTTGGGTGGTTCCAATATTCCTACTTGAATAATGTTGAATCACCTTAGGGTATGTTGCCTGCTTTTTAAATTTGTCTTTTGACGTCTTATCTGTGATACGCAGGCTTCATAACCTCTGATCCCCTTTCAAAATTTCATTTTATTTAGTTCCGCCAATTGTTTTCTCGTTTAGGGCACACGCTTTATATTACTTGGGGACCATACGCCGCTTTTCATGGAATGGCACGGAAGTGTCACATTGAAGGTTCCATGATAACCGCCGTATGAACACGTCTGCGGATGTTTCTAAATTCAAAATTTTACTATTTCATGTTTAAATGTTGAATTCTGCTTAAGCCGGTGCTAGGGGGCGTGGACGGTAACTTGCACTTTCCAGTACCGTCCATGAACAGGCTCAATCAAACCGAACCTGCAACATTTTCAATTTTGCCGTGTTGGGCTTTCTTTAGGGATTCTGTATTTATCTATTTTTTTAGTACTACCAAAACTACAGACTATTTTAAATGTAACATAGGTACAAGACAAGGGGACGTAACAAGTACGATTATGTTTAACCTGTATATAAATGAGTTATCTCCCTTTCTGCGTAATAAGGGACATCGCGGTATATTCATTACGGATCAAATTCCCGATTTTATATGCATTCTTTTCGCTGATGATGTTGCAAATTGCGCCGATACTGCGATCGAACTTCAGTCTCAATTAAATTCAATTTCGGAGTTTTGTAATAATACCGGTATGTCTATAAATGAGAATACAACTGAAATTATTGTATTTTGAAATGGTGGACCGCTCAGATCATATGAAAAATGGTTTAACAACGGTAATTCAGTAAATGTCACACCAATGTACAAATATATGGGTCTTTTATTTACACCTAAATTATCTTGGACAAAAAGCAAAAACTAAATTTGCTGCACAAGCTAGGAAATCTATTAATGCTATTAAATCATATCAAAGAAATTTTGGAAAGTTTTTACACTCTGATTATTTTTAATTATTAGACTCTATGGTAAAAGCCTATATTTACCTATGGTGAGGTGAAATCTCCGAAATTCTTGAACAAGTTCAAATACAATATTGTAAAGATTTTCTAGGTGTAAATTATTCTGTTAATGATAATGTTGCACTGGGAGAATGTGGAAGGATGCCTTTATGTATTGATAATCATGTTAAAAGTGTCAAATATTGGTGTAAACTTCTTTGTATGCCGGAACATAGATATCCTAGAAATTGTTATTTGATGTTAACTAGACAAGATAATGTTGGAAAGAAAAAATCGGCTACTTCAGTAAAAAACTTATTGTATACTTATGGGTTTGGCTTTGTATGGCTAAGTCAAGAAATTGGGGATATCAATCTATTTATTTGTCAATTTAAACAAAGAATTATTGATTGTAAAACACAAAATTTGATGGAAGAAATTCAGAATTCACCCCGATGTGACACCTATAAATTTTTAAAATCTATGTTAAATCCTTAAAAGTATTTATCTATTGATATGCCATTTTATGTAAAAAGATCATTATCGAGATTTAGATGTTCTAGTCATAAATTATATATAGAAACTGGACGACATTTGGGTATACCAAGATATGAGCGAATTTGCCAACACTGTTTGCAAACTTATAACAATTCGTTCATCGAAGATGAATTTCATGTATTTTTTATTTGTAATAAATTTTCCCAACAAAGACAACGTTATATATCTCCATGGTACAGGCATGATTATACATTCCATAATTTTTGTAATTTGATGAAAACTAAAAATGAACAAAACATAAAGAATACTGCTTTTTTGTTCATGAAATTATGAAAATTGTTGATAATTAATATCAATAGGAAAGCATGTCATATATAACAATGTATATTGTAGACACAGATAAATATGTATTTCTGTTTTGATTATATTGTGTATTTTGGGCCGGAGGCCTTTATCTACAAAATAAAATGTCGTTGTTGTTGTTGTTGTCATCTTGAACTCAATTTTAAATATTTTAATGTTGCAAATCCAAAAAATCAGTATTCAGTTTTTAAGCAGAACTCAGAAGAAATGTTCAGAAATCTGGAACCCAAAGTGCGTTGTAGCATATGAACGCTCTTCGGGGTCAATATATCCTTTACATTTATTTGCTCGGACCCAAAAGTGCGTTTTACCCCAAAGTACTGTGTTACTGTAAACCTAAATAACCTCTGCAAAACTTATTGTCAAATATATTGAATGAATAAAATTATTTCTCATGAAAACAAATTAAAATTATTTTAAGGGGGGGATGCGTTATGTAAATATCAATAATTGAAGGCTCCTCGTTAAAACCAACAACTGCCAAAACGTTTATGGAAATGGCATGCATTTACCTTTACAATGTCTCAGTGTCCATTTCCCTCTATGGTAAAACACCATTTGTTGTTTTGAAAACCATGACTTTCTACTGTTGTAGCTACGAAATTGAGGCAGTTCCTCTTGTGTGTCATTCTTTTGTGACTGTTGCACGGTTACGTTGATTAAATTTCCTATTCTAAAATGAGCCCTGGTTGAAAAAAATTGTTGTAAAAATGTATCTGCCGTTAAATACATCTATATAGTTAACACATGAAAATGAAAAAAAAAATTAAAAAACCTTAAAACGTGAATATGAATGTTTAATTTTTCATAAACATTTTTTATTTAATACGATACTAAAACAGTCGCTTCGTAAAATCAATGGCAGATAAACACAATCAAAGATATAAAAAAGTCAAACCCCAATTGAAAATTAAATGAATAACTGGATCAACCCAGGAAGGCATCTGATTCTATCCTGACCATTTCTTCGACTGATTTGTATGTTCTAAGTTAAGTATGTCTTGATACAACTGGCAATCACAATTATTCTATGAACATAAATCAGTTGACCATATTTAAAGTGAATATCACTATTGACGTCAAAGAAAATTACATGTCCTGCGAATATTCAGGGCAATCTTTGCAAGATCATACATAAGGTAAAAAGTCAGACAAAATATAAAACAGCTTGTATGGGTTAGTGTCACAAATGTTCATATTATAAGAATTGGTAAAACTGGCAAAATATATGTCATTATGTGCAAATTCTAAGTAAGCAGATATGATGAAATGATAAAAAGAATTTGTTCGGAACATATCTTCTAGGCCCTACATGCATATATAGATCTAAGAATTTTAATGTACGTGAAACACAAATTTGACAGCATGTATTCAAGTTTAGCGTTTATCACAAATTGTTCTCTCGGTTTAAGTCAATGTTTGTAAAGAGAAAACAAATCTACAAAAACTGAGGGATACTAATATATAACTTGGCTCATATTTTTATGCATTAAAAAACTTGATAACCGCCGTATGAACACATCTGCGGATGATTCTAAACTCAAAATTTCACCATTTTCGTGTTAAATGTTGAATTCTGCTTAAGCCGGTGCTGGAGGGGGTGTGGATAGTAACTTACACTTTCCAGTACCGTCCATAAACAGGCTCAATCAAACCGAGCCTGCAATATTTTTAATTTTGTTGTGTTAGACTTTCTTTGGGGATTCTGTTTGTCTTTATTTTTGTTGGTATTATTTGACAGACTATTGTCTAGATGTTGGTTTATACAGAATTTATTTTAGTTCGATTGCGTTGAAAGCTATAAGCTTATAGACACACTTTCTAATCCGTTCCAGGAACCAACCAGTACAGAGCAATGAGTGTAAATTTTCTCGATCAAGAAACAAAGGTTTAAATCCATGCGGCTAGCGATCATGAAATTACTAGTCCGACGCGTTATCCACACTGCCATGCCGTTACTTCTAGCTCTATGAACATGACTCGATGTTTTGTGTTGATTATAAACCATTTATTTGATCAAAGAAAACACTAAACGTTTTTCGTAAATCACATTTAAGAGCGTGTCAAAAGAACTCTGCGCAAATGTTCAGCGTAAGAAGGCCTAAATTTTGTGCACACGGCTCTAATTCATGTTGACAAAGCCAATGTCACATGCAGAGATCAAAGGCCACTAAAACACCAAAAATGAAAATGCTTATATTGACCATATACTTAACATGAATTTAAGGATAACAACGAAATAGGGATTTATGAGGTTTCTGCATATTTGCTGACTGGTTTACCAATATTTATACTTCGAAAAAGCCACTGATCTGTTTACACAGAAGAATATTTATCTGCAACACAGTTTTTGAGCAGTTGAA